CGCTACTAGAATGTTAGCGCTATGATACAAAGGACCGTGCCTTTTCACTTCTGTATTATCAGCACCAAGCACTATACTATGGAGAAAGTAGGCATCAATTAATAATAGTTCTTGAACTGTCAAGAGATTCTTGAGATGCCAGCTAGTAAGTTTACTTTGCAAAGTGCACCATTGAGTGGACAGGGTGGTCAGGTCAGTCTGACCGGGACAGGCTCCACCCCCTTGATGGCCTCATAGTCCCCTTAGGGGACTATGATGGCTGGAGGGTTGCTTACGGAACATGGAAATGCTTGGCACCAAGTCTAATGTGAGAACCTTGGATGCTGCCCGCTTCCTCTGTCTGTTTCCCAGGGGAGTTGTGGATTGATTCCTTGCCCCACACACACAGTCGCCACACACCACTGTGTAGCCTGCCGGCTCACACAGGCCTGCTGGCTCCCTGCCTGTGCACAATCCCAGGCTGTGTCCTGCATGTCTGCCCCTGCCATCCTCGTTTTTCCATGCTTCCATCACTTAGCCATGTGCTTTTTATTTGACACTATTTTGGGGCCATGTTGGGGGCTACTGTCAAGTTTTATGGTGCTGAGAACCACTCAATCTTTTTTTAAAAAAACTTTTCTTAATTCATTAAACATAACATACTATGAGCCAAGCCACCATGCTAAGTGCTTGGGATGCAGTGATGGAACAGCCCTACAGTGTGGGGACAGACCCTAGGTTAGAGAAATAAGTCTCCACATTGTAATTACATTTGCACTGAGTGCTGGGAAGGAGAAGTGTGGGAGTGGGAGAGCTCTCTCGGGTGACTGCATGTCCCAAAGCTGGGGGGTGTGAGTTGGGTTCACAGTTTAACTCCCAGAGAACAGTCTGAGTTCATAAAGCCTTGGTTCTAATCACTGTGCCCATGGACCTCCCCATGACGTGTGGTCCCTTCCCCTAATTATGGGTATAGGCAGTCTGTCTACTGAGGACAGAATGGACAAAAAGTCCAGTCCTTCCGACAGTGGCCCAGAGACCTGGCCTCTTGCTCCTCAGTCAAACTCCTCTCTGGGATTTAGCTGCTGTACACAGTGTTGTGATACCTATAGTACCTCAAGGTGGCATTCTTCTGTCTTGGGTCCCTAGTGGCAGGTGCAGCTCCAGTGTAGATTATTGGTCAGTGGTGATTTCCCCCCACTGCTAAAGGGACAGGGAGCTACCCAGCTGTGGGCCCTGAGTGAGCAGGCAGAAGGAAGGTGGTGGAGTAAGGGAGGGAAGAGTGACACGGTGATGCTCATGCTCTCACACTCTCCTGCCCACCCCTGGGGGGAGGGCACAGCCTCAGAGCTCTGTCCAGGCCCGAGTGCGGAAGCTCCAAGGAACCTATGTTCCCACTGTTTTTCCCTGTTGCTTAAGAAAACAAGGTTTTCACTAGAGTGTCATTTCCTGGTGGCTGATCTGTGACCAGTTGACCGTGTGAATATTTCCTAATAGTCTCTGCCATCAATAGAGAGAGAAACCCTCCCCAGTGAACATCTGTAATCTTAAAATTCACATTTGTCTCCTTCCTTCCAGTTCCCTCAACCCACCTTCGTTACTGTACATTAAACACATTTGGATGGTCAAGATTTATTCCTACCTCTTTCATGACTCTGAGCCAGGCACTCTTGCTGGAGATACCAAGAAAAATAACCATCCCAGGCAGTCAAAGGAGCTAGGGTGGGGGGCACAGAATCTCATGGGATCCTGGTCGAGCACGGCCCAGCTGAGGGCAGGAGGGGGTGTGGGCTGGGGGTGGGTGAGAGAAGCTTCCAGGAGGAGATGGTGGATAACCCCTGGGCTCAGTCTCAAGGACAGTGATCTCCCATCAAGGCCATTAGCAGGGCTGGGGCTCACCGATTTCCCAGGTGTGCATGCTGGCACAGCCATGTGGCTGCCGGGAGCTGTTCCTCCGCCCATTTTCCTCAGGAGTCCCCCGGCCTTGACGGCCTAGACAGGCTTTGTTCAGAATCCAGTGTGGCAGGTGGCACCCAGTAGCCACCCTGAAAGACACACCATCCCGTTGCTGGCAGAATGAAGCTCCTTCCAGTTCTGAGGGCCCCAGTTCTGTGAGGCCCCCTCAGATGCCGAATCAGAACAACTGGAGTTTTCATTCTGAAGGCTCCTGTGTATACACGTTAAATTAAATAAATTTGTATCTTTTTCTCCTATTAAAAAAAAAGAGAGAGAGAACTAACCACCATTGGCTTAAGGAGTCTTGTAGCATTGGAATGGATTAAGCTATCCAAACCAACCCTTGCTGGGCCGCCAGAGCCAGGCTCCTCTGTTCCCTGTCTACACAGCAAGGAACACAGCCTTGATTTAGGAGTTGGAAATAGCAACGTCAGGGTGAGGTTGATGGCACTTAACAAAACAGCTGGGCTGGCCCCGCCCTGTGTGACTCATTTCCTCTGTGTAGACAGCCATGTAGGGTGGCCCAGCCTGCTTCTTTGCCCCCGCTTTTCCATGTGTAGGCACAGAAAGCAGGGAGGGCTTGAAATAGTGGAAAAAAGGAACTAGAATCCATTCCCACAGCCCACTGACCCCAGACACTCCCCACTTCCCCCGCTAGTGAGCAACCTCAGACTCAGTGAGAGCAGCAGCAGGAGGGGGCAGGCCTGGCTGTCTGGGGCGCAGGGGCTGGCACAGAAGTGGGGAGCAGAGCCAGAGGCAGCTGGCAAGGCCCCTGAGTCCTGCTTGCCACGCCTCCCTCATCTCAAACCCTGAAACAGGGCAAAAAACCCTACGCGCTAGGGCTGCTGGATGTCCACATGCAGAAGGATGAAGTCACATCCCTTCATTATACCTGACAGGGATATTGACTCAAAATGGATCAGAGAAATTTTTATGCTTCAGAGGCTACCATCAAGAAAGTGAAGACACAGTTCACAGAGTGGGAGAAATTATTTGCAAATCATATATCTGATAAGGGTCTAGTATTCAGAATATATATAAAGAACCCTTACAACTTGTGTTAGTTTCCTAGGGCAGCCATAACGAAGTACCATTAACTGGATGGCTTAAAACAACAGAAATTGATTCTTTGATAGTTTTGGAAGGTAAATTATCAAAATCCAGATGTCATCAAGGTTGGTTCCTTCTGGAGATTCTAAGAAAGAATCTGTTCCATGCTTTTTTTTTTAGCTTCTGGTATTGCTGGCAATCCTTGGCATTCCTTGGCTTATAGACACATCACTCCAGTCCCTCCCTCCGTCATCACATGGTGTCATCCTTCCACATCTTTGTCTTCACTTGGTGTTCTCCTCTTTGTATGTGTCTTTTCTCCTCCTCTTATAAGGATGTCAGTCATACTGGGCAAAGGGCCCACCCTACTCCAATATGACCTTTTCTTAAGTTAAAGGTGCAAAGACTCAATTTCCAAATAATGTCACATTCTGCGATACTAGGGGTTAAAACTTCAACATGTCTTTTGGGGGGACACAATTCCACTCATAACAACTCAACAACAAAAAGACAACCCAATTTAAAATTGGGCAAAGGGGCCAGGCATGATGGCTCATACCTGTAATCCCAGTACTTTGGGGGGCCAAGGTGAAAGGATCACTTGAGCCCAGAACTTTGAGGTTGCAGTGAGCTGTGATGACGCCACTCACTCTAGCTTAGGTGACAGAGCAAGACCCTGTCTAAAAAAAAAAAAAAGGAGGGAGGAAGGAAGGGAATGGAAAGAAAGAAAAGAAAAGAAAGAGAGAGAAAAGAAAAGGAAAGAAAGAAGAAAGAAAACGGGCAAGGGGATTGAATAGATTTTTCTAGGAAGGAGGGGACAGAGGGAGGGAGGAAAAAGAGAAAAGAGGCAAAGGAATTTAATAGATTTTTCTCCAGAGAAGATGTAGAGATGCCCTGTAAGTATATGAAAAGATGCTCAATGTCATTAGACATTAGGGAAATGCAAATCAAAACATAGTGAGATAGCACTTCTACACATCAGGATGGCTATAATCCAGAAGACAGATCATAACAAATGTGGGAGAGTTTGTGGAGAAATTGGAAATTGGAACCTCACGCATTGCTGGTAGGAATGTAAAATGGTAAAGCCACTTTGGAAAACAGTTTGGCAGTTCCTTAGGAAGTTAAACATAGTTACATATGATCCAGCAGTTCTACTCCTAGGATATTCACAAGGAATGAAGACGTAAGTCCACATAAAAACTTGTATATGAATGCTCATAGCAGCATTATTTATATTAATAATAGCCAAAAAAGTAGAAGCCAGATGTCCATCAACTTATGAGTGGATAAGCTACATGTGGGCCATCAGACAATGGAATGTTATTTGGCAATAAAAAGGAATGAACACTCATACATGCTTACAACATGGATGAGCATTGAAAACATCATGTTAAGGGAAAGAAACTAGTCACAAAAAATTACATGTTACTTGATTCCATTTATATGAAGTGGCCAGAACAGGCTAGTCTATAGAAACAGAAAGTAGATTAGTGGTTGCCTAGAGCTGGGGTGGTCAGGGGGAAATGAGAGTGGCTGCAGATGATTATGGGGTTGCTTTTTGGAGTGATGAAAATGTTCTAAACTTAGATTGTGGTAACGGTTGTGCAACTCTGTGAATATACCAAAACTATGGAATTGTACACATTAAATGGGTCAATTTTAGGTATTTGAGTCATATCTAAAAATTTGGCTGGTTAGGTCTGCTCATGTCTATAATCCCAGCAGTTGGGGATGCTGAGGCAAGGTCATTACTTGAGGCCAGGAGTTCAAGACCAGCCTGGGCAACACAGTGAGACCTTGTCTCTACAAAATGTGCCTTAGTCACAGCTATTCAGGTGGCTGAGGCAGGAAGATCACTTGAGCCCAGGAGTTGGAGGTTGCAGTGAGCTATGATGATACCACGACACTCTAGCCTGGGCGATAGAGTGAGACCCTATCACAAACAAATAAATAAATAAAGTGTTTTTTAAAAAAGCTTTAAAACAAAAAGCAACCTCTGTCTTCTTTCTCAACAGAAAAGCAAGAGCTGGATTTCAGAAGATGACTTCTACCGGCCGCCCCAGGAGCAACCCCTGGAGAGAGCTTCAGATTGCCCCGTAGCTGCTTCCAGAGGGCCTCCAGAGGCAAGGCCCGGTCTCCACAGGCATTTTTCTCAAGGACCAAGAAAAAGCTGCTCCCTGGGGGCACTAGACAAAGCGTGTGCGTCTTCCCCGGGAAGCAGGCAAAGCCAGGCGGCCCCGGCGCAGGAGCACAGGAACTTCTGGGTGGTGCACCGGAGGCAGATGGGTAGGTGACTCTCAGGTTCCAGGTGGGCCCCATCTGCAGGGACTGTGCCTTTCGGAATACAGCTCTGAAGTCCTGTTTTCCATGACCAAATGGGTGGTGTGTTCTCACAAGAAAACCTCATCCCAGAATGTATTCATGAGAAGCATTCATGCTCAGTAATTCAGGAAGGCATTTCAGGAAAAGTACTGTATTTTCTTATAAAATCTTAATAAAATAATGTTCAAAACTTCCTACAGAGTACAAAAATACTGTTTCATCTGTGGAAACAGAAAATATTTGCCTTGAAATTACTCTATAAAACTTGTGATTATAGAGAACTTTTGATTCTATCTGTAGGTCAGAGCAAACCCGGCTGGTTGAAGCCTTAGGTGTTTTCACTGATCCTTCCAAAGACTTTTATCTTAGATGGTTTATTTAACAGCTCTGGTGGGGTTTATCAGATCTGCTATTTATTTAGTGTCTTCCTCATGCTATTTACAGTGAGGCCAGCTTGATCTCCACACCCTGTGAAATTCCAGAAAGCATTAAATAACTAGAACCTAATATTTCTGTAACCCTCATAATGGGTTTCCCCTACAAAACAAAGCAAACTTGTGTGCCCTAGTCTGTCTCCTCATTTTCCGTTTGCAGTGACCCGGCAGAGAATTGTGCCCGGTGCCAGGCCCTGGGCCAGGTGGTGTGGTAGAGCCTGGTCTCCAGGCCGGCTCCTGTTCTGAGTGTCCTTCAGCCCTTGTGCTGGCTGCGGCCTCTGACCAGGCCAGAGAAGGTGCACTTTATGCCCAGGCCTTTGGGTTCCCTGAGGGGTAGGAAACCCCGTACAACAGTGTGAAACCCCCCTAAGCTGGGGGAGAGAGAATTGTGTGTCCTTTGGAACCTCTGGTTGGTGACAGACCCCTGGGGAGCAGGGAGCATTGAGCAGTGTATGGGTACACAGGCCTCATTCACTCATTCATTCAGCAAATATTAATTGCGCATCTGTGATGTGTTAGGTATTGTTCTAGGTGCTGGGGACACAGCAGGAAGCAAAACAATGTCCCTCTCTTCATGGGATTTAGGGAGAGACAGGAAATAAGAAAATTAACAAGTAAACGTAGAGTATGGTCAGGTGGTAACAAATGCTTTGGAGAACAGTAACTCAGGGAGTGCCAAGATGGAGAGTACACCATTGACATTTAGGGTGGTCAGGGAGGCCCCCACAAATAAAGTGACATTTGAGGAGATTGGGGTGGAGGGAGGCACCAGGAGATCTGTGCGTTTCATGCAGGGAGAACAAATGCAAAGACCTCATGCTGGAAACACGCTTGACATGTCCAGGGAACAATGGAGACTAGAGTGGCAGGTGCAGAGGAGATAGCAGAGGGGCCTGTGGGCTTCTGCTTTGAGGGACATGGCAGCCACTGCAGAGCTTTGGACAGAGGGACATGCTCTGACTAACCTTTTAATCAGGTCATTGTCTCCCAGGAGGTAGTGGTGGACCTGGTGAGAAGTGGGATTCTGCATGTGTGTTGAAGGTAGAGCCACAGGACTTGCTGATGTCGCTGTGAAGGAAAGAATCTAGAGTAACACCAAGGATTTTAGCCCAAGCAACTGCAGGGATGAATTTTGCCATTTTATAAATGAGGAACATTAGGGAAGACGCAGGTTTGCAGCGGGAAACTTGGGGATGCATTTTGGATGTGCTGACTTTGAGGTGCCTGTTAGACGCACACGAAGCAGGTGGATACATGAATCTCAAGTTCAAGAGTGAGGTCTAGGCTGGGGGTAGCAATGGGGAGTTATTGGCATAAAGCCCTGCAAGCAGGTGAGATCAGCTAGGGAGGGGGTGTCGGCAAAGAAGAGAGGGGGTCCTGGGACTGAGCTCTAGGTGCCAGCCCTGGGAGGACGGGGGGGAGGAGGAGCAGACCAGGGGGATGGAAGAGAGATGAGGGCTGGGGAAGGGGCCTTTTAGTTTGGCAATGGGGAGGGCATTGCTGGCCATTCCAGGGACAGTTTTCGTGGAATGAAGGGACAAACATCTAATCTGAGCGGGTTCAAGGAAGAATGGGAGCAAGGAAAGGAGAGAGAGGGAGTTTCCATACCTCAAGCAGTTTTTCTGTAAAGGGGTCCAAGAAACAGGTGGTAATTAGAGATGTGAGTGGAGATAAAAGTGTTTCTAAAGATGGGAGGAGCAACAGCTTGTCTGTGTGCTGATGGGAATGACCCAGGAGAGAGAGGGAGAACTGCTAGTGAGATGTCCTTGCCCTCGAGTACTTGGCAGGGGACTTCCTGCATAGGTAGGGGGGTTGGCCTCACACACAAGCGACAGGAAGGAAGAGGGTGAGTGTGGTGATCCGGGCATGGAGGTAATCTTTTGAGTGCTTTTATTTGCTCAGTGAAATACAAGAAGCAAGGTCATCTTTTGAGCGGGAGGATGGGGCAGAGGCAGTCAAAAAAATATCCCCATTCGGCTTTCAGAAGCATGTTTGACAGTGCCCACATCTGGCCATTCTAGGGGCAGTCACTGTGTCCACGCCCACCGCAGGACATCGGGCACCAGAGATTGCCTTGGGTGGAAAGGGGACAGGCCCATCGTCTAACACGCCTCTTTCTGCCTCCAGGGCTGTCCAACCCGTTCCGGGGTCTCATGAAACTGGGCACAGTGGAGCGGCGGGGGGCAATGGGCATCTGGAAGGAACTCTTCTGTGAACTCTCCCCACTGGAATTCCGCCTCTACCTGAGCGACGAGGAGCGCACCTGTGTGGAGAACTGCTCCCTGCTGCGCTGCGAGGCTGTGGGGCCGGCCCACAGTGACGGGCGCTTCGAGCTGGTGTTCTCTGGCAAGAAGCTGGCCTTGCGAGCCTCGTCCCAGGATGAAGCCGAGGACTGGCTGGACCGCGTGCGGGAGGCCCTGCAGAAGGTCCGGCCTCAGCCAGAGGATGAGTGGGTAAACATCGAGTACCCAGACGAGCCTGAAGGGCTCCCTGAGGTGCCCCAAGGTGGCCACCCCTCTCGCCCAGACCTGCTCTCGGAGCCTGCGACTCCCCAGGGCACGCAGTTTGACTGGTCATCTGCCCAAGTTCCAGAGCCAGACGCTATTAAGGAGTCCCTTCTGTACCTGTACATGGACAGGACCTGGGTGCCCTATATTTTTTCCCTGTCCTTGGAGTCTTTGAAATGCTTCCGAGTGAGAAACAACGAGAAGATGCTAAGTGACAGCCATGGCGTTGAGACCATCAGAGACATCCTGCCAGACGCAAGCCTCGGGGGCCCGTCCTTCTTTAAAATCATCACGGCCAAGGCCGTCCTGAAGCTGCAGGCCGGGAATGCCGAGGAGGCTGCCCTGTGGAGGGACCTGGTCCGCAAGGTCCTGGCATCCTACTTGGAGACAGCTGAGGAGGCAGTGACACTCAGCGGGAGTCTGGATGAAAACTGTCAGCAGGTGCTGAAGTTTGCCACCCGGGAGAACGGCTTCCTACTGCAGTACCTGGTGGCCATCCCTACGGAGAAAGGCCTCGACTCCCAGGGCTGCTTCTGTGCAGGTGCTGACTTGCTTTCCTGCCACCCCCTCGCCTGCCAGCCAGCCTCACTCTGCCTCCTGTGGGGTCCTGATGTAGGCTCTCCCCCCTTCCTGCCTCCCCGCAGGTGCCCCGTCCTTCCCCTGGGATGGGACAGCAGATGAGGCTTAACCTGTGGCCTCTACTCCACCCCAGCACGCACTGGGGCTGGCGCTGGTGCTCATAGGCAGGGGGCCCTACTCTCCTTCCCTCTCCCACCCCCTCCTGCTGGGGGGTGGGACCTAGGGTGGCAGCTGTGCAACCTGCTGCTGCTCTGGGAGTCCCACCCCCCTTCATCTTCTTATTACTGTGCTGTCGCATTCTTTCAGAGCAGGGGCATGATATCTTTCCAAATATTTCCGCATACTTTTGCAAGTAGACACAATTTTTTTTTTTAATTACAAAAAGAGGCTCATGCTATTCAGTGTTGTCCAACAGAACTTTCTGTGATGAAAATGTTCTAGATTGGCACTGTCCAGTGCCATAGCTATATGGCTACTGGGGGCTTAAAATGTGGTTGGCATGACTAAGGAACTGAATTTTCCATTTACATTTATTTAAATTTAAAGAGTTCTATGTGGTTTATGGCCACTACATTGGACAGCACCTCTGTATGTATCCTTGACCCTTGAATAATGCAGGGGTTGGGGTGCTGGCTACCCCCACCCTGTGCAGTCAAAAGTCCACATATAAATTTTTTTTTTAAGAGTTTTACTTTACTCAGGTTATTGAGAAAATGCTAAGCTACTCCTGGGCTCAAGTGATCCCCCTCAGGCTCCCCAGAAGCTAGGACTACAGTCACATGCTACCACACTCAGCTAACTTTAATTTTTTGTAGCGATGGTGTATCACTATGTTACTCAGGTTGGTCTCGAACTCCTGGGCTCAAGCAGTCCTCCTATCTCGGCCTCCCAAAGTGGTGGGATTATAGGTATGAGCCACTGCACCCAGCCCATGTATGACTTTTGACTCCCCAAAAACTTTACTAATAGCCTGCTGTCAGCCTGAAGCCTTACCAATAGCATAAACCAGGGGTCCTCAAACTTTTTAAACGGGGCCGGTTCACTGTCCCTCAGACCGTTGGAGGGCCGGACTATAGTTTAGAAAACTATGAACAAATTCCTATGCACACTGCACATATCTTATTTTGAAGTAAAAAAACAAATGGGCAAAAACACCTGCATGTGGCCCGCGGGCCGTAGTTTGAGGACGCCTGGCAAAAACAGTCCATCAACACATATTTTATATGTTATATACAGGGTGTCCCAAAAGTCGCCATTCATAGGGAAAATGGGAAATTGTAGCTAAATGTTCAAACCCATGTTGTTCAAGGGTCAACTCTATATTGTTCTGAACTTGGTTTTTTCCTACTTAGTATAGTAATACATTATGTATGTTCCAAGTCAGCACACCTGCCACACCATTCTCACCAAATCTAATACTTCCGTGCTGGGCACTAGGTCAGATGCTTATTTGGATTATCTCATTTAATCCTCACAACAAGCCTGTAGAGATAGGCGCTGCTATTGTCTCTCTTTACAGATGAGGAAACTGAGGCACACAGCTGGTGAGTGACAGAGGAAAAATCAGGACCTTGGTGGTCGAGCCCCAGAGCCTGTGCTCGTAGGCAGGACCCCAGCGGGCCTCCCACCCTTATATCATTCAGGGCTTCGTGATGTCCCCCTGCCCACATTCCATTGCTGTCTCTTCCCACTCCCTGCCATCCAGGGAGAGGTGGCATCTCCATCACCATGGTGCCCTCAGGTGGCCTGCGAGGAGGTTGCTCTGCTACAGAAGGCAAGAGCAAGTGGCTGAGGCTCGGTTTGGGAGCTGTTCTGCTGGGGTAGACTGGAGGGAAGCCTTTAAGCATCTAGAAGGAAGTGGTCTGCGGTTGCCCCCAGAGGATGGAAGAAGGTAGGCAGTGCAGAGCTTCCTGCAGAAACCACCTGTAAGCCAGGGTTCAGCCTCCCCTCACCCACCCCAGCACTCACACTTTGCTCTTTTGCCTGTGGGGACCAGGCTGGGAGGTGGCCAGGCCTCCAGGGCTTTTGAGGAGTGGTTCCCCACTCGTGGGCATGAACCCTGCCGGGACAGCTCTCACCATGCTGCCACCCACCAGCCTGCCAGCAGGATCGTGCATGATAGCGAGAAGCTTGGGCTTCCTTTCCACTCAGCATGCTCACCTCAGTGGCCAGACACCGACTGCAGATAGCTGGGTTGGATTTCATAGATTGCAGGGCATTTTTAGAAACTTGTCATGTTTAAACTTTGTAATAACCCCACGTAATAGCTGGTAGTCACTGAATTTTATAAACGCTGAAATGGAACCTTGAAAAAATGAGGTAAAGGGCAGGATGAGGTGGCTGGTAAGCAGAATTGTGGGCCCTCTGGTCCCAAGGCCTGGGGGCGGCACACTACGTGTTCAGGATTTGAGTTGGGCCTTAGCTTTTTGCCCTGGGCACACCCCATCCCAACCTCCCCCACCCCTCACTGTGGAGGGACCTCCACCCGAGGAGGCGGAAGCTGGCCCTGCCCCACTGTCCTGAGGTATCAGGCAGATCTGGGTTTAAGCTGGCACCAGGCTGTGTGCAAATTGCCCTCTCAGGGCCAGCCCCATCTCCCCAGCTCCTCTGTTTGCCAAGGCCCTGACTTAGTTGCTTCCATTTCTGGGCCCCATTGGAGGGGTGGGCCTAGGAGAGGCTGGCATTGCTGAGCTAGCAGTGGAGATGTTGAACACAGGCAGCCAGGGGTAATGGAGCAGAAAGTAGGTTTGAACCAACCAAACCCAGATTTGAATGCCAGCCATGCCACTTAATCATTGTGTGACCAGGAAGATTTCTTAACGTCTCTGAGCATCAGTTTCTTCAGCTGTAAAATGACGATGATGATTCTTACAGTGTGTTGTCATAAAGATTACTTAATAGGATTGATTCTTTTTATTTTTCTTTATCTCTCTCTCGTTTTTTTGTTTTTGTTTTTTGGGTTTTTTTTTTTTTTTTTTTTTTCATTTACTGGCCCTTAGAGACTGAATTAGGGTTGATTCTGAGTGGCGGAAATCTGAGTGATGATTACTTTTATCTTAACTTTAAAAGAAAATTAAGGCCGGGCACAGTGGCTCAATGCCTGTAATCTAATCCTGGCACCCTGGAAGGCTGAAGCAGGAGGATCGCTTGAGCTGAGGAGTTGGAGACCAGCCTGAGCAAGAGCCTGACCTTGTCTCTACTAAAAATAGAAAAAATTAGCCAGGCGTGTGGGTGTGCACCTGTAGTCCCAGGTACTTGGGAGGCTGAGGCAGAGGATGGATTGAGCCCAGGAGTCTAAGGTTGCAGTGAGCTATGATGACACCACTGCACTCTAGCCTAGGAGACAGAGCAAGACTGTCTCAAAAATAAGTAATAGGCCGGGCGCGGTGGCTCACGCCTGTAATCTTAGCACTCTGGGAGGCCGAGGCGGGCGGATTGCTCAAGGTCAGGAGTTCAAAACGGGGTCTCGCCTGAGCGAGACCCCATCTCTACCATAAAAATAGAAAGAAATTAATTGGCCAACTAATATATATAATATAAAAATCAGCCGGGCATGGTGGCTCGTGCCTGTAGTCCCAGCTACTCGGGAGGCTGAGGCAGGAGGATCGCTTGAGCCCAGGAGTTTGAGGTTGCTGTGAACTAGGCTGATGCCACGGCACTCACTCTAAAAAAAAAAAAAAAAATAAGTAATAAAATAAAATTTAAAAATTCACTAGCAGGTCCTTTCCACCATAGGAGCTACCATGTTGCTGTAGGAGCTAACTCTGGCCCTGCCGCTCACCTACCACCCCTCTCCCCAGGCTGCTCCCGGCAGATCGGCTTCTCCTTTGTACGACCCAAGCTCTGTGCCTTCTCTGGCCTCTATTACTGTGACATCTGCCACCAAGATGATGCCTCAGTGATTCCAGCCAGGATCATTCACAACTGGGACCTCACCAAGCGCCCGGTAAGTCTGGAGCCCAGCCTGTCAGGGCCACACAGGGCTGCTGAGGGACGGAGGAGTGTCCCCTCCTTGCTGCTGCTGTTTATCTGTTTGGAAGAGTTTGGCTCTAGGGAAGCCAGTGTCACTGGTTCAGGCACAGTAATGGGGGAGGGGGGCTAACCAAGAGAGAGGCTTGGTGCCTGTCCAGAGCCCCTGAGCAGAGCCCTATCAATGCCTGCCTTGGTCACAAGGTGGGAGTCTGAGGATGGTCCTCTGTAGCAACAGACAAAACTATTTAAGGGACCAGTAACTGGATTGATGGGTGGATTGGAAGGATAGATTAGATATACATCCTATCTATATAGGATGGACGAATAGATGGGTAGGTATATGGATAGATAGACTGGCCAGCCTCCTGGCTGCGTCTCTTGGTGTAATCCTTGCATTGGTAAACCCCTCGAGGCCCAGGTAACTATACTCCCCTGCAGGCCCTGCATGGGCTTGCTTGTTTCATGTTTTTAAAGAGCACTTTTTCTGGAGCTCCCCTCATTTAATATTAAGATAACACATGGTTATTGGTTAACATTTTTAAATTATAGAAAAGCCCAAAGATAAATCAAAATTATGTGTCATAGCCCAGAAATAATCATTGTCACATTTCAGGGTGTACCCTTTTCTGTATGCTTACTTACATATGCATCTACTTTTTATAAAGTTAGGATCATACTGGCCTTATATACACTGCTTTATAACATGCTTGGTGCATACTGTATCTTAGGTACTTTATTATGTTCAACAAATGCTTTTGATAGGATGTTCTCTGAAGTCTTTCAGGTTTTCCTCTTCTCCAGCTGAACTTAGCTGATTTTCTAGCTGTGCTACCACAAGCAAATTCACTTCGGGTTCCTCATCTGAAAAGGGGGTTGTAACAGCGTGTGCCGGGTGTTGGGAGGACAGGTGTGGCAGGGTGACCTTTCCCTCCCCAAGGCTTGCCACACTCCTGCCCTGAATCCCCTTGGTCAGGGTCTGCCCTAAGAGGCACAAACTTGGCTTTCTTCCAGAGGCACAGATTTCTGCTAAGACAGGCATAGGAACTTGAGGAAGAAGCTGTGGCTGTGCAGGCTTGGTGTGGCTGTACCTCTGCAAAGGACAGGGCGGTGACTGCGTCAGTTCCACCTCCCTGGGGAGGGGAAACCCCAAAGAAGTCGGCTGCATTTGGGGTTTTTTGTTGTTTACCTTGTCCCTACCCCTCCCCTGAGTGTTAAATATTTAACTAACTATATATAGAAAATTAAATAGTAAGTACAGTTAAAATACTAAATATAAAATAAAATATTAAAATTACCAAAAATACAAAGAACCCTTTGACCGTAAAACAAAACACATTTGCTGTTTACAAGGCCCAGATACTTCTGTTGTGCCATCTCTCATTCCTTGCTGTAATCCTTGTACCACTTCCTTTTTCTAACTAGAAAATCACAATACTTTTCTCGGCATATCTGAGATCAGGAAATCCCTGTCTCCCTCTCAGAGATCACTGGCCTGAAAGATAGGAAAATTCAAAGTGAATTAGCTGGCCCACGGATTCAGAGCCTATTGTTCACTGCCACTGCTCTGGCTAACCCGCTTGTGGCTGGCACTTGGCAGAGTGTCATCCCAGGCCTGGGGCTTCTTTCTTTGTCTCCTCCATCCCCACAGGGTAAGAACAGGCCCGGGAGCGCGAGGCCCCTGCCCATCCGCAGCACTGGGCAGTGTGCAGTGCACACTCCTGCGTGTTGTTTCATCTGGGCCTCACCCAAGGCCTGGGGCTGAGTCATGGGAAGAGCTGGGCTGGGGCTGGGGAACAGGCCCCAAACCCACAGGCCTTGGGTGCTCTTATTTTCCCCATTTTACAAACGAGGAAAGTGAATCACAGAGAGAGTACGTTTCACAAGGTCCTACAGGCTAAGTCACCAGGGGAGTTTGCCCTTGGGCTGCCCCTAGGCCGAGGTGCTGGTACCTCAGGGCCCTTGTATATGGAAAAAGAAGGGGTCATCCATTGCCAGGGGAGGTGGGAGATGCTGGCGGAGCTGGGACACAGGAGGCCAGAGGTCTTCCCAGCCCCCGGATATAGGGGGAGGTCTCCTGAGGGTCTGTTAAGTCCCCCAGCCGTCAAGGGGACAGCAGGGCCACACCAGGCACTCACACAACAGCCAACAGCAGCTCACGTTTACTGAGGATGTGCTACATGCCAGGCCCTGTGCCAGGGGCTCACGTGGGTGACCTCTGTTCATGTAAACTCAAAATAATCCCATGAGAAAGAAGCCCCAGTCCCGGGCAGATGCTGGCTAGTGCCAGCCAGGCCCCTGCACGAGTGGGTCAGCCAGAGCAGCAACAGCACACAGGAAGGCCCCAAACCCACAGGCCTTGGGTGCTCTTATTTTCCCCATTTTACAAACGAGGAAAGTGAACCACAGAGAGAGTACGTTTCACAAGGTCCTACAGGCAGAAGTGGTGGAGGCAGGATTCAATCCAGGTGTGACCCCAGAGCTGGACTCCTAACCACTGTGCAGTAGGCAATCATGGGGAAAGTCCTAGCTCCTCTGTTTTTGCCATGCAGTGGGGACGCCGCAGAGGAGAGGGACTTCTGCTCAGTTAGCATGGCTGCCTGGTGTTCAGAGACAGCACCTCAGTCAGGCCCAGGCTCCCTTTCCAGGCAGGCTGGATACGCCATGTTAGGTCCTCTGAGCATGTTCCCTCATCTGTAAAATGGGGACAGCTTCCCTCAGGGGTGGTTCTGAGGGTGAAGGGGGGATGTGGTCAACATCCCTAGCCCAGTGTTTGGCAAATAGTAGGTGCTCAGCTATTGGCATTGGTATCAGGGTCAGGACTGAGGGCAGATCCGTCAGCACCCTGTCAGTTGGGAGAGGCTGGGGCTGGTCACTCCACTCCACAGGACGGGGCGGGGCCTGGCGGTTGCTGCTGGGAGAGCTGGTGGGGCGGGGGGAGGAGAAGCCTCTTGCTAAGCTGTGTCTGATCCACTGCTTCCTGTGGCTGGAGCCTGACTCAGACTAGACACCTGGTTCCTGAGTCAGGGCCCGGAGGGGAGCGCCTGTTTCCTTCAGGCAGGAAAATGGGGCTGGGAGGACAGGAAGGCGTGGGGAGGGGCAGTGACCAGGGCAGCCCTCCTCCATCTTAGCACAGCCGGGAGGGGCAGCTGCCATTAGGGGGCGAGTGGGTTTGGGATAAACTGGGTTCAGGTCTCAGCTGTACCATTTATGAGCTGTGTGACCTTGGCCAAGTTGCTTCATCTCTCTGAACCTGTTGTGGCTCAACTGTAAAATGAAGCTAGTACTTCAGGTGAAGGAGTAGGTAACGCTGTGCCCGGCCCAGAGGTGCCCACTGAACAGCCTTTCTTCCCACCCCCACCCTCGGTGCCTGATGGCCCCAGGTCTGCCGGCAGGCCCTCAAGTTCCTGACGCAGATCCGGGCCCAGCCCCTCATCAACCTGCAGCTGGTGAACGCGTCTCTGTATGAGCACGTGGAGCAGATGCGCCTCATTGGGCAGAGGCGCGAGCAGCTGAAGCTCCTCGGGGACTACCTGGGCCTGTGCCGCAGCGGCGCCCTGAAGGAGCTGAGCAAGAGGTGAGCATGATGCGTCTGCGCACGCACACTCAGGGGACACGCACACTCAGGGGACCCGCACCTGAGGCCAGGCATCCACGTAGGGGAAATGCCAGGGCTGTTTGGAGATCTTTCCATTGAGCCTGGAAAATTACTGTGTCCTTGGGAGTGGTTTTGTTCATATATTCACTTGTTCATTCAAAAATATTTATTGAGAACATACTAAGTACCAAGCACCAGGCTAGGGGTTTGTGATATAACACTGAGCAAGGCAGAGCCAGGTCCTACTTTCTGGAAGCTTCTGGTCTGGCAGGGAGGGCAGATGAATAAGCTGGCAACTCCAGCCAGGGGCGAGGGCCTGGAGAGCTCTGGAAGCACAGAGGTGAGAGCTCTGGAAGCACAGAGGTGAGCCCAGATCAGAGCAGTGCAAAGCGGAGAGACTTCCTGGAAGAAGTGGCTTTTAAGGTGAGGCATGAAAAATGAATTAGGAAGGGGAAGAAAAGGAAGAAGAGTGTTCCAGACAGAAAGAAGGAACAGCATGTGCAGGCCATGAACAAAGGCACCATCCATGGGAAGAGCAGGAAGCACTTTGGCTGGAGCAAGGAGGGAAGGGAGTGTGTTGAGGGGCAGGCGAGGGCCAGATCATAGAGGGCAGGGCCATGTCTCCTCCCTGCCCTCGCCAGTTCTCCATCCCAGGGCTGCTTGCTGTTCCATGGCAGCTTCCCTCCTAAAATTGTCCAAAGAGTGCAAGATCGGAGTAGGACCCTCAGGATGCCCTTCACGAAGCTTCTTAGTACCCAGGGCCTGGTACCCTGGGGCCTCTGGTGCTCAGGGGAGGGCTGTGGTGCTGGGGTTCAGCATGGGCTTAGAAGGCCTTTCTGTGCCTGCCATAAACACTTTCTAGCCCTGTGTCACAGCGGCCTTTTGAGGGGCTGTGCTCTCCTGGGGCCTTCAGGAAGGCAGGCCTCAGACCTTACGTGGAAGAGCTGCTCCCGCTGCCCAGCATGGGCTTCACATCTGCCTGTGCTGGGCTGCTGGGGACTTGAACTAGCTCACAAGCCCCTCTCGGGTCCCCCCTCCAGCATCCCCTCCCCACAGGGCTGGCACACAGAGCACCTGTCTGAAGGGCGCCTCCTCTGTCCAGCTGCGTTTTTCTTGGAGCCACACCTGCAGTGCTCCTTGGGGCCCAAGGGACCTTAGACGTCTCCCCTGGGTGGCTCTGCCCACCCAGATCATCAGCTGGATGACTTGGTCACCATCTCTCAGCGGGTGCTGACTCACTCCCAACTTGGAGATTGCACAACCTGGGACTCCAGAGTCTGCGCTTCTGCCCACGTGACCAGGGTGGTGAACTCTCTTGGGTCAGGTGGGGCCTTGTCACCCTCCCTTGGCCAAGGGGCCACACATCTGCAGAGACCTGTGTAGACCAGGTGCCTGCAGAGTGGGTTCTGGGTGCCGGCCCCACTCAGCCATCCCACCCTGCTGAGATGGTTTATTCATCGACTTTACTTACCCGTCTCTGAGCTGGCCTGTGCTGGTCACTGAGGCCAGTCCTGCCTCTTTGTGCCTGGCCCTGCTGCTCACCTCTGGACAGCAGCACTGCACTCGCAGTCCCTGCCTCACCCCAAACCCACGACATGAGTTAGCGTAGTGGCTTCACTTCTCAGGGTGCCAGCTTTCCATCTAGAAAGTAGGCTGGTGGTCCCCAGTTTCCAGTGGACTTCCTGAGTTGTGAGTGCCACGTGAGGGGCTCAGAGCCTAAACCAAAGATGGCTCTGGGTCAGTGTGGTGAGTGGCCCGAGGGAGGGCGCCTCAGCCATCATGGCAGGGTTCAGAGGAGCTCTCCGAGGAGATGGTATCTGAGCTGAGGGTTTGTAGATTCTTTGATTTTTTTTCTTTTAAAAAAATATTTTTCTTGTTTACAAAGATAGTCTTCAAAGGGAAGGATATTTGTGAAAGGCAATAAAGCAGCCGTTGCAGTCAACCCTTCTGGAATCCACCACCACCTGCTTCCAGACCTCACTCTGTGGGGCCAGTGGCATCGTGTGTGTATTGAACTGGGGGTTAGAAAAATGACTAAAGAGAAGAAAGGACAGGAAGGGGCCTTTCCTAGCTTAGGGACCCATGGTGGGGGGCAGGGGGGACCACAACTCACCGGAGCTCGGAGGGCCCATGTGCCACACTAAGGCCACCAGTGGGGCGCCATCCAGGGTTCTGAGCATGAGACTGTCGTGTCTGATCAGCGGTTTAGGAAAGACTGTGCTGGCAGCAGTGGGTGCGGGCGGTGGAGGGATAGCCTGGGGAGGGGGGTAGTGTAGTGATCACCCTGGGGAGCAAGGAGGCCTGGGCCCGGTAGGCCAGGGGCGAGGCTGAGCAGAAGAGGGCTGAGGCCTGAGGCCTGGGCAGCCTTTGCGTGTGGGAGCCGAAGTCAGGGAGGAGCTGCCCTGTGCTGGCGGCAGCAGCCTGGCCAGGCTCTCTGTCCCAGCAGGCCTGGGACACGTCTCCAAGGGCCAGAGAAGCCCCTGTGAGTGTCTTCTTAGGCATTTGGGAAGGAACCATCACAGAAACGCCCACAGGGGTGTCCACCCACCAGACCTCAGGTACTCCTCCTGACAGCCAGGGAGGGTGGCCGGGGGTGGCCAGGGCCCCTCCCTTAGTTACAGGAGCTAAGATGCAGCCTTTTCCTCTGTCTTGCACTCTCTCCCAGAGAGCCATAGCGATTCCTCTGGTCCCTTCCCCGGCAGTCAGCCTCGTGCCACTTCATTGTGTGGTTGGAGAATCTGAGGCCCAGAGCAGGCCTGGGGTGTGCCCTGGTGCACGTGGCTTCTCTTCCTGGAGGCAGGAGGAGAAGTGGCCTCTCTGCCGGGGCCAGCGCTCTCTCCCTCTGGCCTGACTGAGCATGGCAGAGAAACCAGTTGCAGGGCCTTGCTGAGAGTGTGACAGGCCCAGGGGACAGGGACTCCCAGGGCTTCCATAACTGTGGGCAGAGGACAGATGACAGAACTCTCCATCCAAGTCAGCCCCACCCTCCTGCCAGCTCAGGGCCACCTGTGTCCCTCCCGCCCCCCACACCCTGTGTTTTCCTGGTGGTAAACGGCAGCCTCCTGTCCTAAGAAAGCTGGAAGCTTGGTCACCTGAGTGGCCTGTTGGCAGTGTCCTCACCCCATGGCCTGCCTGGTTGCTTGGTGGGACTCATTGCCACCCCAGATGGGGCTCCCCCGTACCACAGCTGAGGCCAGCAGGGGGACTGCAGCTGAGCCCCCGTTCTAGATGCCACACAGCCCACACCCTGGGGGCCTGGACCCAGGCTGGCACCATCCTGCCCCCCAATATCCAGGGCATCCTGGGGCAGGTTCCCAAACATCGTGTGACACAGTGTTCTCCATCCACCCCCACTACCCCCACCCACGTACACACGGCAAGGCCAGGCAGGCTGTTGTACCAGGGGATTTTCAGCAGGTGCTTCCTCTGTCCCTCAGGATGTGACGGGCAGGATCCTGCCATTGGTGTGGTGGAAACCAGAGCTGAGCTGGCCGCTGAGCCCTGGTCCTCTGCTCCCCACCCCCACCTCCAAAATGGGATCTGCTATGCATAGGACACATCTCGTTCCTCTCATGTGGCACTGAAACCAGAGAGGAATGTCTGTCCTGAGGCCAGACCAGGAGCTACAGGAGGGTAGAAGCCATATTCTGTGCATTTCTGCCCCCAGCTCTGTGCCTGGTATGTGATGGTAATTACAGCAGCAGACACCTACAGGCCTCACCAGGGAGGATAAGGGCGCAGGCTCTGCAGCCAGATGCCTGTGTCCACACTCCAGCTCTGCCACTAACTGGCTGTGTGACCCCAGGCAAGTTATTTACCTTCTCTGGGTTTCCTCTTCTCAAAATAGGATTATAAAACCTCCAGCCTCATGGCTTATTGAGAGGATGTAAGGATTAAATGAATGAATACATGTACAGCTCCTAGCCCAGTTCCTGGCATAAGAGTTTACATTCGTCATCATTGTCCTCATTATTATTATGTGATTACTGTGTGCCAGGCACTGGCAGATGCTTTAAATAAATACGTCATTTAATCCTCAAAACAACTCCATTTTTCAGGGGAGGAAACCTGAGGTTCAGAGAGGTTAAGTAACCTGCCCAAGGTCTCAGCAGCTGCTTAGTCACCTTGAAGTCCAGGTCCGGGTCCCAGGTCCAGGCAGGCTGACTTGTGCTCTTAGCCCTTGCCCCGCCCTGGCAGGAGGTGTCCCGCCTGGCTAGCAGGGCTGCCGAATGAAAACAAACAGCACAGGTTGGCCCAGTCTCCGAAACTCTTCTAAACAATCTCTTGTGTTTTCTTTGAAGGCTTAACCACAGGAATTATCTCTTGGAGTCTCCCCACAGGTTCAGTGTCGCTGATCTCCAGCAGGTGAGACTGTCATGCTGCCCCTCCCACCTGCCCTTCCAGAGGGACCTCATTCCTGGAGAAATCAGAAAGGGAGCCTGTAATCCTAGCACTTTGGGAGGCTGAGGCGGGCGGATTGCTCAAGGTCAGGAGTTCAAAACCAGCCTGAGCTAGACCCTGTCTCTACCAAAAATAGAAATAAATTAATTGACCAACTAAAAATATATATACAAAAAATTAGCCGGGCATGGTGGCGCATGCCTGTAGTCCCAGCTACTTGGGAGGCTGAGGCAGTAGGATGGCTGAGCCCCGGAGATTGAGGTTGCTGTGAGCCAGGCTGACGCCACGGCACTCACTCTAGCCTGGGCAACAAAGTGAGACTCTGTCTCAAAAAAAAAAGGGAGACGGGTCGGGGGTGCCTGTAGTCTACCAAGGCAAGAAGCAATCTTCAGCTTTTCTGCACCTCTGGACAGGGTCCTTGTTGCCACAGGCTTCCAGGACAGTGACTGTGCCCCCACCCCTGGGAGACACAGGCACACCAGCAAATCCCAGGACACAGGGCCGAGAGTTGGGAATGCTTCTGTCCTCAGGGGAGGGAACAGTGGATTCGGGTCTCATCTGTAAATCCCATAATCCCCCAGTGACCTCATGCACGAGGGCCGGACGCCTGCGTCACTCAGCCTGATTCGGGGAGGTTTGCTCAGTTCCCATGTGGGAACTGAGGGTAGTTCTCCAGGCAGGGTGCCAGGGAGCCTCAGCACAGCTGCTGAAAGGCCTGGTGGTCTGCGCTTGCCCCCCTTAGATCGCAGAGGGGGTGTATGAAGGATTCCTCAAGGCCCTGATCGAATTTGCCTCCCAGCACGTCTACCACTGCGACCTGTGCACCCAGCGTGGCTTCATTTGCCAGATCTGCCACCACCACGACATCATCTTCCCCTTTGAGTTTGACACCACAGCCAGGTATGTGGGACACCAGCCAGCGCCTCGCAGCCCCACCCCCACCCCCACAGCCTGGTGGAGCGTCCCAGGATGGCAGCCCAGCTCTGAGGTACAGGAACACATTGGACATCTACTCTGGGCCTGGACCAAGGGGTGGGAGGTTGTCCAGGGCAGCCTGCACAGTCCTGCCAGCTCCGGTCCAGCTCAGAGGACAAGATGGGCCCTACCAGGGCCTCAGGCTGTGAGTGGCTTGAGAAGGGACTGAATGAGTTCCTGCCCTGCAGTGTTGGCACAAGGCCTGGCACAAAGTGGGCACCTGGTGGGTGGTAGCTGCCACTGCTTCTGCTGCTGTCATGATCATTCTTGTTCCCAGTTACTGTTCATTATCAGGAGCCTCTAAATGGAAAAGTTCATGCAAACCTTCCTAACCCATGTGGGAGGGGAGTTCCCACTAATGCTGGGAGCGTTAGTTCATTTTCAGTAGGTGTCTGCTGGCCATGATTCAGCGGACCCAGGGCTGACTTTTTTAAACTGCAGAGTCTTTCAAACATAGGCAAGAAATCATTCAGGCAGCATTTATAGAAAATGAAATAGGAGAGAGAATATCAGCGTGACTTACGGGCAAGCATTGTTTCTAGACTCTTGCTAGGGAGGGAGTGGCACAGCCACAGCCGTGTCGTGGGCTCTGGTCAAAAGCACTGGCCAGCCCTGGTCTCGCACCCAGCCAGCACAAGCAGCATGTGCCACTCTCTCCCCAGGTGTGCCGAGTGCAAGACCGTCTTCCACCAGAGCTGCCAGGCCGTGGTGAAGAAGGGCTGCCCCCGCTGTGCCCGCCGGCGCAAGTACCAGGAACAGAACGTTCTCACCTAATCCCCACCTCCAGACCCCACCCTCGAGGTCAGGGGGTGAGTGCCAACAGCCTGGGCTGCGCAGTCTCACAGTGTCACAGCTGTGTCCCCTTGGCGGGAAGACCCTCAGATGTGACCAGAGCACAGGCCTCCCAAGAGAAAGCCCAGGATGCCCGATGATGCCCCAGGACCACCCTGCTACCCTCTGCTCTGGGGGCGGGAGGGGTGGGTGCCACACGATGTCCTATCTGGGGGTGGACGAGGGCCTGTTCCTAACCAGGCCCTGGTCACCACCGTCACGGCACCTCCATTAGGGCTGTTCAAACACTGTGGAAATGAGACTTGTGAGCATTTTCAATTCCACATTCCTGATTAAAAGGTCTAGTTTTTTAAGGTGGGTTTTTCCCCTTCATATTGCAACAGAAAATATTTTTTTATTCTTGACCCTACACGAGTCACCCATGAAATCCAGGCATTCTCACCCTGAACAGATGCGCAGGAGCCACTCAGGCCTGGCTGGGCAGGTGAGCCACTGCCGGACGGGGCCTGGCGGCTGGACCGGGTGCCTTTCTTTTGTCCCTGCTGCCACGTGCCAAACTGCTCGTTGGCAGGGTGGGGCCAGGCCCGGTGACCCTTGCTTCCTCTCCCTGTGTCGTCTTTCCTCCCCGTTCCCACACTCCTCACCTGAAGGGCCCGTCCCCTTTCTTGGTGTCAGTCCTGGCTCTTCTCCAGCTTGGGCTCTTGGTCCCAGCAGGAGAAGGAGAAATGACTCAACCAGCACTGTTAGCACTTTGCACCTACCTTAGTTCAGGGAAGGTCGTCACCTTGCCCGCCCCTCAGCCCTGTGCCCTCCTTACTCCTCCGCAGACGGGCAGGCCGGTGCTACCAACGCCGCAGCCCCACCTGCTGTGGGCTCTCAGTCACAACCCCTGCCCGCCTGAGCCCAGAGAGGGCAGCGAGCCCAGGCAGGGGCTGGCCTCGGGCACCGTGACTGCCGGGCCCTGCACTGTGGAGAGGTGACCGGGTCCTTCCACTGCTGAGATGTGCAAGGACGGGCAGAGAAGCTACCCTGAGGAAGCAGCCCCAGCCTCGGTCTCACAAAGCCATCAATTCCCAAAGCTTCGCTGGACTTCCCCAGCAGGGCGCTGCCGGACACGGGGAAAGTTCCGTGGCGCAGGATTGCCTTTTGATGGGGGTCTTGGGGCTGGGGTGGGAGCCTAGAATTGTTTGCACAGTTACGTTGAGACCCTTGAGGTTGGGGGGCGGGTGTGCTCCCTCTGTTGCCTCACACCTGCCCGCCCACTGCTGGACCCAGCAGGCCCTCTCGTGTCAGCCCTGGGGTCCCCAGCTTAGAGTAGGAGGCCTCAGGTGGAGTCTGCCTGTCACTGTCAAGAAATGAGCCTGCCCACCCCTCCCTGGGGGTGATCTGCTGCTGAGTCACCAGCCCAGCTGAGGAGCTGGAAGAATGCGCACTAGAAGAGAGGAGGCAGCGGGCAGGCAGGTGGAGGCACCGCACGGCTCCTCCTCCCTGTCACGGAGGATGGTGGCACCTGTGCCCAAACCCACAGCCTCCTAAACCCACAGGCGCGTCCTTATCCTCACCCCAGCCCCGCAGCCCGCATTGACGCTCACCGTGAACACCGCCTGATCGGAGCCAGCGCTGCCTGGTCCCGGAGTGCCAGGAGCCTGGCCCTGGTGGGCTTGGGCCTGTTGGGCCAGTGAGGAAATCCCCCTGCCCCCGAAGGTGCCCTAGGAGGCAGCAGGGGTGAGGCCCTGGTTGGAGGGGCCTCCCCCACCCCCAGGATTGTTAGCATTAGAGCTGCCCCCTCCCCGTGACTGTGACTGAGAAGCTGCTAGTGCTTTCAGAGGAGTTGACTCTTACCCAACAGTGGAACGCTGATGTGAACCTCAGTAGTGCCCACACTATTTTAAAATGTTATTTTATGCAATAAACTGTTTCTAGTCAGTGGGGGCATGGCCCTGAGAAGTGCTTTGTATTGAAGGAATTGCTGCCATGTTGTGTGATTTTGCAGTAAAGACCTGGTCTTTCTACTCACTGGCCTGGCTTCAGAATCCTTACACCACGCTGCCTGGGGGAGGCCGCCAGCCATCCCTTAGCATCCCATAGGGCCCCTCACGCTCCTTAGTCACAGGGGAGGGCCTGGAGGCATCCGTGGCAAACACTTGTGGGCAGGGGGCTTGTGTGGGCAGGGAGGGGACAGTAAGTAAGCAGCAGTGTCAGTCTATATGCCCCGCCCAGAAGTCAGGGTCCCCCGCTGGGTAGGATTTCAGGGACATTGGGGAGGTTTACTCACAGACACTCTTAGAAGCTGATTCCACCACGACAGCTGCTTTTTCTGTCCCTCACATGTCCAGGCACACCCCTTGACACCAAATCATGTGAAACCTCAGGGATACAGGAGAGAGAAGGGGCTTAGGAAGGAGCAGCTATTTGAGCAGGGCCCTGGATTCAGGACTCGTGCTTTTAGGGCTCAGAGTGGCCTATGCTGGGCTGGTGGCCTTCCTCAGAAGTTCCAGGAGAAGCCCAGGGGTCCCTCCAAGGGAGGCCACCAGTGTCCATTGTAAGAACAGACGGAAACAGACTAATGGACGGGGAATCAGGTTCCAGGGAAACGGGACAGAAAGACAACATTCAGGTCTGCAGTTTCCTGTCCTTGAAGAACCCTTTCAGCCCACTGGGGGAAGGGGGCACACTCTGTCCATGTGTGAGCCCCAGCTTCCCCCAAGGGCCTTACCTCCTTGGGGCCAGTAGATGGCAGGTCCAGAGAAGAGAAAAGGAACTGGGGTTGAGGGCCAGGGGCATGTGACATGGTGCTGCCCCACTGTGGGCTCAGCCCCTCCATCCCTGCAAGGTGCTTCTGAGGACACTTGTTCTTCCTCCTCCCCTTCTGCCTAAAGGAAGATGGGAGGTTTAGCAATCCCAATCCTGAAGAGCTCATCTCATAATAAAAGTAGCAATAATAACTAATACATCGTGTGCACATACCATGTGTTAGACACTGTGCCTAGTGCATCTCATTTAATCTTCCCAACAATCCTATGAAGTAGGTGCTACTGCCCCCAGTCTATAGGAAGAAACTGAGACACAGAAATAAGGCCAAACTCCCAAGGTCTAAAGGCCAGGAAGTGGCAGAGTCGGGCATCAGGACCACAACTGCTACCAGCTGCTGCCATCCTGCCTTGCTTGCTGGGTAACTCCGGGCAAGTGGGGAGGGACCTAAGAGGTAGGTTGGGGGTGGGGGGGTTCCGCCACCATCTTCTAGCAGGACCCTGCCCTGGAGGATCCCAAGATGCCACCAGGGCTCAGACACACTGAGATACCCAGCACAATGTAGACTCACTGCTGGGCAGCACCTAGCAGGGGCAAAGATACAGAGGTACTGGGGTTCAAGAAAGTGGCTGGAACCTGAGTCAGGCCTCATGAGGTGGTGTCCAGGGAGGCCGGGGCTGGGGTGGGGACTCCGTCCTTCTCCCAGACACTAGCCTGAAGCGGCCGTCCTCAGCACCTAGGCGGACACAACTGTTCCTTGAGGTCACTGAGAGCAGGGTCCACCGGGCCAGGGCTTGTGATGTCTGGAGTGAATGCAGGGCCCAGAGGGGCCAGGCTGCTTTCCCCAGAGAGGCAGATAACTCCCAAAGAGAAGACCCCCAGGGTGGAGGAACCTGGGGCTGGACTTGAGATTCTGGCCTCCAGGAGGTTGATCTGAGCTTACCCTGCGGACAGATTGGAGGGTGGCCCTCCTCTCCCGGAGGTAGGGGGACAATCTGGGAGGGCAATCTGGCCAGGAGAAGCTAGTGGGGAGGCTCCCGCCACCCTCATCCCACCATCTCAGCCCTGCTGCCTCCTCCTCCTCCTTGGAAACAGCCAGGTGTGGCCCCGGATCCCGGAGGTGCAGGGGGAAGGGGGTGGCGTCTCTGCTCCTGGTGCGCTGGCCCGGCCCAGAGGGGACGGGAAGCCAGGACACCGGGGATTGTCTCTCGCAACCACAGCCCAGCCCCAGCCCGGGAGGAAGTTCTGCCGGGCGCTCTCCGCCGGTGCCTCCCTGGTCATATTGTTGAACAGGAAACAGCAGCGCGGGAGCCGGGCGGTCGAGGAGGGCGAATCCTTCCGATTGGGGGACGAAGAGAAGAGGTCGGATGGAGCGGGAGGATCCCTGGAGCGCAGAACGCCCCCGTCGCCAGGAGGTCCCTGCGTCACTGCCCCGCGACTCGAGCTACAGCGGTTCAACGCTGGTCGGCCTGGGGGCCTGCCTGTCCCTCCCGCCCTGGGACTTGAGGACCGCTCCTCGCCCACCTTCTCTCCCCAGGAGACGCGGCCTCGCAGCTCCCGCGCAGCGCACAGCGAAGGGGAAGAGCGCGCGAGCTCCGGGTGAGGACCGCGCCTGCGGCGCCTCCACACTCCTCAGCGCCCCCGCCCGCCCGCGGCACCCGGCGCGCTCGCTGCCTCGCCTCACTTGCCGGCAGGCGCGCGCGGCCGGCGTCTGGCGCG